CTGAAGCTGGAGTAAATCACTGAAGTGAACATTTTCTTCATAATGTCACTACAAAATAGCGTAAAAGGGATTCTAACTACATGCCATGAAATTAAAACAACAGACCATGACTGGTAGGAAATTATGGGTTTATCTTAGTTTCGTGAAGATTAAAAAAAAAAGCCACATTTATGGAGAAAGTAATGAATATTAAATCTTTCATACACCTACACTGATTAAATAACTCTTTTCACTTATGCTAGCAACTCTGCAACATGGTAAGATTTTTGTTCAGTTTGAACAAAGAGACTTAGAGATGTTACATAGTGTGAGGTAGGTCCCACAGAATGGGAAGTTTGAAAAGCAAATGGAAGGGAATGAGGTGGAAGCTATTCAAATAGCTTAAGATGTCTGGACCCCAAGAGCAGGACACAGATCCGGTATTCTAAGGCTTTGATACTCAAGTGTGGTCCAAAGACCAGAGCATCAGCATCTTGTTAGAGCAAAGTCTCAGCCCCAAGACAACCCTATTAAATTAAAATCTTTTAAAAGAAGATCCTCTGGTGACTTACGTGCACATATAACTTTTAGAAGCACTACCACCTTAGGGCGTTATTTTGAAAACTTAAGGCTAACAAGCTACTCTGTGACAGGAAGTTTATGTATTTTTACGTAGCGATCACAGCAAATCTTCTCTATAGAATAGGTTCTACTTAAGAGTTAGGGTTTATTTGATTATTTTTCTTATCCTCAGCATCTAGTATAATGCCTGGCTCATATCTGACCAGTGAGAATGGAAGAGAAAAGTATGTTAAAGTAAAAATAAGAGTAGTCAAGTCAGTGATGCTACACAATCTGTTAAAAAGGTTAAGATGGTTGGCCCCATGGGCAAGAACGAGGACATTCAATAGGGATACGTAAAAAGCAGAGTAAGTAAAAACAGGAGAAAATGTTTTTGTTCAAACACACAATGGGAAAAAAAAGGTCATGTGCTTAATTAGGAAGAAAGCATACAAAGGTTTTGAGCATTCTGGGCATAACTTGGTAATTGGAAAACTGTAGTTTAAAGGACAAACGTGATATTGGAATGCAAAAATATTTTCATTATGTTAAGCCCTATTATTTGTTGGCCCCAAATATTGGTCAAATTTTACTAGAACTCTATGCTCTTTGATCAAGGAGGAATCTAGAATGTAAAGTGGGCTGAAGATGAAAATCACTTGAGAAAACTCAAGAGGCTTTGAGAATAGTGCAGAGAATGCTAACAGTTATTTACAAGCATTTGTTCAGCAATAAAGCCCACAATGGAATTGTAACAACCCAGATTAGGTCATTTCACAGGCAGTCTCCACAAGACTTCCCTCAGTTCAGACACCAGCTGCAAGCCCTGGGATCCTAAGGCCACTCGTACTTGTTACCCACTGGGTACAAATTCGGCAGTTCCCACTATCCCCTCAGGTTCGAGAATGTGCCAGAACAACTCGCAGAACTCAAGGAAGTGCTATACTTCCTATGTTTGTTTTGTTACAAAGTTACAAATCAGGACCAGACCAAAGAAGAAATCCTTGGGGCAAGGTCTGCGGAGGGTGACAGACACTAAGCTTCCAAGTCCTCTGGCACATCCTCCTGTCACCCCCCTGGTACATCCACGTGCATCTCCAATCTGAGAAACTCTCCCAAGCTTTCAGGTATAGTGTTTATTGATCCTCACTGCATGGCCATGATTGACTGAATCATTGGCTATACAACTGAACTGACGTTCCAAATCCTCTGCCATCCTTGGAGGTCGGGCTGGTATGATGTGGCTCAAAACCCCAACTCCATAGACAGTTACATGGTTAGTCATTCTAACATGGTCAGCACCTACTCTGGAACTATTTAGGGACCTACCATGAATATCAAAGACATGCCCATCACTTGGGAAATCCCAAAGATTGGAAACTCCCTACCAGGAACCAAGGAAAGGCCAGCCAAATTCATCATATAAGTTGGCCTTACTAAGGATTCTGGCTAGGCTGGCTTACCTGTACGTAAGATTGAAGAGTGATCCACATGAGTTGGCCAGATTCTTCTGCTATTATTTTGTTGCTGCACTATTATGCTAAAAAGAGGGACACTGCTGGAAGAATTCAGAACATATATTATCCAATATAGTTTTTGGCCTCATGGTATTCTTTGAGGATTAGTCTCGGATAACACAGATATTTAGTGAGTGCTAACTATGTGATAGGCACCTAATGTGAATACAGCTGAAGAAACAATCTATATTTACATACTACTTAAAACAAATACATCTATCTGCACCGAACTAACGTTCCAATCAAATCATCTTTGCCTATTCATTAAAGTATGTCTCACAAATTCTTTACTAAAAAATATTCTATCATTGGGGTGCCTGGGTGGCTCAGTTGGTTAAGCGTCCAACTCTTGATCTCAGCTCAGGTCATGATCTCATGGCTTGTGAGTTTGAGCCCCCCATCAGGCTCCGTGCTGAGTGTGCTTGAGAATCTCTCTCTCTCCCTCTCTCTCTGCCCCTCCCCCACTCGTGCCCATGCTCTCCTTCAAACATAAATAAACTTAAAAAAAATATTTCATCATTATGTTACTTGTTACCTAAATGCTCATAGTGGGGTTCAGAAAATATGCCTTGGGGTATGATGGAAAGGGACTTGAAATCCAATTAACTGTGAGCTAGTGAGTACTTACCCTGGTCCTCAACCTCTGTATTTGCAAAACATGAACATAAACCATCACATCTACTTAGAGAGGCAACGTGGCTAAGAGCCTTACTCTGGGACTTGGCTGCTTGACAGACAGCTCTGGTTCTTTCTAGCTCTGGTTCTTTCTAGGTGAGAAATGTCACCTAATCTCTCTGGTCACAGCTTCCTCATCTGTAAAATGAGGATAATACTTGCCCTCATAGAGCTGTTGTGAGGATTAAATAAACTGTTGAGTATTTCACTTAAAATAGTGCCTGGCACCTAATAAGCACTTAAATTTTAGTGATTTTAGTAATTATTATTTTTAATTCCTTTATTAATTATATTACTTATACGTGGGTTGTTGGGATCACATAATATTTACGAATGCTATTAGAAAACCTGACACAAAGTATACATTCAAATATTGATTTCCTTTACTATAGAAAAGTATTCTGTATTTCAAACTATTCACTAAGGGTACTCTAGGGACACAAATGAGATGAAGTTTGCTTCCATCTGATAGCAGGTAAAAAAAAGGAAATGGGAGTAAAAGGGTTAGGCTGGCAAACCAATTTTTAAACAGTGCTCAGCTGTTTAAAATTGGGGGGTGGGGTGAGGAATTCTTAACAGGCAAAGACAAAAAAAATTAGAAAAGCGTGTACATAAAAGGATGCCTTGAAAAGTTAAAATTATAATCTTTTATCAAGAACTCGGGAAAACTGATTTTTTTTAATGGCCCAAATTTCCTTACTGTCTTAAGAGTTTAAGAAGGCATAATGAGGGGCGCCTGGGTGGCGCAGTCGGTTAAGCGTCCGACTTCAGCCAGGTCACGATCTCGCGCTCCGTGAGTTCGAGCCCCGTGTCAGGCTCTGGGCTGATGGTTCAGAGCCTGGAGCCTGTTTCCGATTCTGTGTCTCCCTCTCTCTCTGCCCCTCCCCCGTTAGTGCTCTGTCTGTCTCTGTCCCAAAAATAAATAAATGTTAAAAAAAAAGAAGGCATAATGAAATATAAATTAAGATTCCTTTCATTTTAAAATATGAAAACTTAAAAAATGATTACCATTTGGGGAAAAATACCCTCAGAGTATTTTAACATGTAACTGATTTTCAGTCAGAATTCCTTATGGCTAGACTCTTAAATTATCACGGGCTCTGTTACACCCACATATGCACATAACAGGTTAAAATTACCATCAGAATACAATGGAATTTTCAGAACAAGATTAATATTCCAAGTATATTATACTCACAAAATATAAGTGATATCACCAATAACACAGAAACTAAGCTGTTTTAACTAGCATTACTTATGCTGAAAATGAAGATTAATTGGATTTTTTTAATACAGTGGAAGCAATTCCAAAACTCAACTGCTACAAAATAAGGCCAAAATCTTTACGAGTTTATACTCAAAACTGTGCAAACAAGATACTGTACAAATTTGGTAAAATCTACTTGTGTTTCTTACGTTTACCCTATTTAATCTTTAAGCTGCCAAATTAAATTTCAGTTTTATGAGAAAAACTATGATGGTTTTATTATTTTATTGTAATTTAAGGCATGCATTATTTTCCCTTCAATTAAAAAATCCAAATCATTAAATCTTTTAGCACTTCTTTGATGAATAGTAGCAATTTTTTCTGTGACACATACTTACAGGTTGCAGGATGACTCTTTTTATTATTCTGTCTATATTTCACAGAAAACTTAAAGCACGTTTCCTCTAATACTCCTACTAAAGTATCAGAGAAAAGCCTAAGTTTTAAAGTTTCTGTAAAGACTTACTCCAACCTTCACTTCCCTCTTCATAACAAAATTCTAATAACACATTTATTTAAAAAAATCACAGAATAATTTTTATTTATAATGAAGTTATTCTTTCTAGACTTTAAATCATCAGTTCACTCTTATAACAGAGAATCATTTAAATAACACCACCAAAATGGAATGAAAACAAAACAATCTATTAATTGATATTATTATATCAATTTCTTTGATATGTCATAATGATATCCAATTAGTTTTGCAACATGGTCCATTTCCAGTGCAATTCTCAACAGGTTGCTAAGAAATGTCAGTCCTTCGCACTGACATTTGATTCTAAGGCGTGCCAGATGTGGCTCTCTTGATTGCTTCAGAAGTCAAACGGTTAAACAAGTATCCTGAAGAAAAGGCTTCAGGTCACCACTTCGTAGGTGACCCATCCACAAATGGGTAGCATGCCTTCAGATCCTTTGGTTTTTATAATAATCCCTTTGGAAAGTTAATTACTTGATGATTACTCCCTTAGAGTTCTGTTTTAAACAGGATGAATCACTCACTATACGGTTTGTGCCAACGTCCTTGACTTTCTCATTTCCACTATTTTGTTTATCAGATCATATAGTGCTGGTAGTCTTAGTTTATCCATATTTTTGCTGTAAACATTGAGAAATATACCAAGGACAACTAACAAACCAGACCAGACATACCTAAGAAAAGAAGGAAGGAAAAAATATTAATATCAAGGTAACGATTTATTGTTAACCACAGAACTTGGTGATGAGTTAACAATAATTCTTCAATAAAATAAACATTTTGTTATTGGAGGGCCACCATGACACTAAAATAAAAAAAAAAAAACAGTATTTTTAGACCAGATTAGATAGAATTCCTATTATTTATGTTAAGTATAGGTACAGAGAAGATATTTTACAAAATATTAAATATAGTTCATTTGAATTTTGAGGATAATAGCAAATTCAAGTCCATGTCCTAACCAATAGTCTTAAGAGTCTAAGCACTGATTGTGTAAATCTGCCAGTGGCCATCTTGGGAATTCAACAATCTACCCAGTTATCCCAGTTGGGTGGGACATACAGAGGTAAAAAGGGGCACATCCTGAGAAAGTAGGGGAATTACATGGGTTGCTATAATGTATACCTAGCACATGCACAAAGAGAAACTGATTACAGAAAACAAATACACCAACTGAAATTTATCTGTGGTTAACTTTAAGCTTATACATTGATAATTTCTAGGTTTGAATCTTCTCAATTACTAAGCAGCATAAATTGAAAGGATACTAATTTTAAATGTATACCAGACAGTAAAGAAAACAGTAAATGCTTTATAAGAAGCCATAAACTAAATAAACTTACAGAATAGATCTGTACCTCAAATCTTTGTTCTAAGGGGAACAAATTGTTCTAAGGGGAACAATAAACTTAACAACTTTATTTATTTTTTTGTTTTAATGTTTATTTTTGAGAGACAGAGAGGGACAGCGTGAGCAGGGGAGGGGCAGAGAGAGAGAGACACACACAGAATCCGAAGCAGGCTCCAGGTTTTGAGCTGTCAGCACAGAGCCCGAGGCAGGGCTCGAACCCATGAACCATGAGATCATGACCTGAACTAAAGTTGGGCACTTAACTGACTAAGTCACCCAGGTGCCCCTGAACTTAGTAACTTTAAAAACCACATATATATATATAACTTATATAATTTATGTATTACATACATATAATTTATACTTTTGTACTAGGGCAAGGCAGAATCCCTTCATCTCAAGACATCACTCACGTTCACTTATACTGGAAACAGGGTCATTTTAGCACTGGAACTCTAGTTAGGCAGTTTAAGTGTACAACATGATTTCTTCAAAATATTACATGCATTTCTGAAGTAGCAGAAGACACGTCAATAAAGTATGGCTCCAGATAAAACTGATTCTTTATAAAGAAATTAAGGAAATAGGAAATGTGAAACCAGGTACCTGCAAGTAGAAAAACTTGTTGAATTACAAACTACTTACTGAAATGTGAATGGTTTGGAGAAGAACATAAATGAAAGTACGATAGTCATTGCTTTTCTTCCGGTTGTCACTGTAGGGAGAAAAAAAGGTTGCTTTAGAATGTGCCTACTAATATCTATCTTTTAGAATATTTTGGAAATCATTTCAACAAATATTAACTAAGCCTGCTATGTGCCGAGATCTACATGACACGCTAAGAAAACAACAGAAACCAAAAAACAAACAGAAAGTTGCTGCTGGGGTTATGGAGTTAACAGTCTGGTAGAGGGTAGAGACATTAAATCATACAGTTAAATGTTAAAGTACAACTGTAATGAGTACTTGATAAAGGCCACGACACTAGGGAGGCATGTCAATCCCTTAGAGATGCTTAGTCTGGCAGGAAAGAAAGGCTTTCACGAGGAAGGTATGATTAGGTAGAACAGGTATTATTCTTTAAAAGTAGTAAGCTAAATTCCTAGGAGTGCTATCTGCTTTCACTCATATGTGGAACTTGAGAAGCTTAACAGAAGACCATGGGGAAAGGGAAGGAGAAAAAAATAGTTACAGAGAGGGAGGGAGGCAAACCATAAAAGACTCTTAAATGCAGAGAACACACTGAGGTTTGATGGGGGGTGGGATAGAGAGGAAGATGGGTGATGGGCATTGAGGAGGGCACCTGTTGGGATGAGCACTGGGCGTTGTATGCAAGCGGTGAACCATGGGAATCCACCCCCAAAACCAAGAGCAAACTGAACACACTGTTATGTTAGCCACTTTGACAATAAATTATATTAAAAATAAATAAACAAATGAAAGTAGTAAGCTAAAGGATAAAGTAAGCTAATATCCTAATACTACTGGTCATGTCTGGGTAAGACCATGAATAATCTTGACATGGCTGTATCAACCTTTACCGGTCTTTCAAGTATTATTTTAAGTCTGCTGTTAGGCATGAAGCCCTCCTCCCTGTCCCAGCCAGGTAGAGGTAGGACTCGGCAAATATCTCCATGGCAGCCCTGTTCCCCGCCTTGCATTATTACTTGCTATCCTCTCTCTGGACTGTGTGTCTTACTTAGTTCCTTGTCTTACTCATCCTTGTATCCCCAGACTACAGTCCCTGGCACTCAATGTCCAATGCATGAATAAATGAACTCCAAATGAAGAAAGTTTTGGAAATGTGTCAGAGCCTGACTCCCCAGATCTATTTTTCCTTCTGTGTTATTTTTTATGCTCTATTTTTACCTGGGCATACCTTCCTTTCCTACAGTCAGGTGTGGTCATGTGATTAGGTTTTGGCCGGTGAAAAGTGAGCAGTGCTGTTTCTAGGGGTGTGTGATTTCTAGGAAGATTTTCTGAAGACAAAGGTGTGTCCTTCATCTTCTCTCCACCCCACTGCCTGAAATGAGGATGAGGACAAGCTGGCAGAGAAGACAGGAGTCCGGCTTCCTGATGAACGTGGAGCCACCACAGCAGTTCAGGAGGCAGGATCACATATGGGTTAAGAGCATAGGTCAGGAGCCAGACTGCCTCCGTTGGAATACTGATTCTGCAACTTACTAGCTGGTTGACCATGGGGCAAGCCACTTAACCTCTCTGTGCCTCTGTTTACCCCTTGTAAAATGGAACAATAACAGTGCCTACTTTATTACAGGATTATTGCGAGATGAAAATGAATAATGTATGTGAAATGGCTCTGGGTACATAATGAAGGTTATATACATGCTGGCTATTGTTACTGCCACCACATTTCTTTTACACAGAAGAGAAATAAACCTGTCTGCACCTTTAAGACAAGGACTGCATCTCATATTTTTTTATACCAACTACAGGGTTTAGATAATACGTATCAATTGATATCAACCCCCTTTTGAAGAGTTATCATCTTTAAGCGAAACTGGAACCCGAGCTAAGTATATGAATTTGCAATCTTTCTTGGTAGTATGAGATAACTTGACAGATTATACATATGGCCTCACCTATAATTAAATGCCCTCTGTTTACCATTAGCAATACAAACTTCAGCAGGGGAGTCATATGTGAGCAAATAAAGAGAAAGTTTAGGATTTAAATCCATTTGCTTAATTTATTCTGTAGTATTAAACTAAGTATTCCCTTAAAAGTATGAAATGTTAAAATCAGCTATAAATGGCTAATGTGTGTGTGCATTATGATGCAAACCTTACAAATCTGATAGAAATGTTCAAGTCCAACCCAGTCTCTTTCCAAGAGAGAAATGAAGGCCAGAGAAGAGGAAAGAATTACTCTCCAGGCCACATGCCATTAAGCATCTGAGCTGGGACGACGTTCTACCTTCTCTGACATCCCAAACCAGCCACACTGCATCCAATCCTGGGCTCCTTTCAGCGCTCTCTCCATATGGGAGATGCTGAGTGCATTTGTCATCTGGACCATTCACTTGGCAAATGGTACGAGGTTAGCACATGGAATCATCTATCTTTTTCACTGGGCCTCACCTGTAGCCTCTCATCTGTTTTCCTGACTCCTCCAAAGCATAACAAATATAACTTCCATTCCTCTAAAGTGCCAAGCAAAGTTCCTGCACAAAGCAGGTGCATAATAATTATTAGTGACAAGGGAATGCCCCAGAAAGGGTACGAATGAAGGTCCAAAGCTTTGTTTGAAATATAGCTGCCATATTTTCCGTGCATCAAAACTAGAATTTTTGTTATAAATTAAAAGTGTATATAAAAGCAGCATTTTTCTCTGAAGGTATTTGGCCTATCACACTTAAAAAAAATTTTTTTTTAATGTTTATTTTATTTTTGAGAGAGAGAGAGAGAGAGAGAGAGAGAGAGAGAGAGAGGCAGAGAGAGAGGGAGACATAGAATCTGAAGCAGGCTCCAGGCTCTGTGCTGACAGCTCAGAGCCTGATGTGGGGCTTGAACTCACAAACTGCGAGATCATGACCTGAGCTGAAGTTGGACACTTAACTTACTGAGCCACCCAGGCACCCCATAGCCCATCACACTTTTTAATGAAAAATTCTTTTAATGCATTTAAAAGTTACTATTTAGATATATATACATATTTGATTTTAAAATTAAACCTTCAAATAAATAAAATATTATGAGGAAACATCATTTTCTTTAGAATTTTAAAGAAATACCATAAGCCAAAAAACAAATTGATGAAATACAACAATTTTCTTTTTAACGCAGAGTAGACGCTGCCCGTATCTTTTGAAAATGAGAGTCAGAGAAAATTTAAATGTTTATTTCATAATCTAAGCAAGTATATCATTCATACCTGTTACAGCAAGAAGTGCACCAAAAATTTTAATCAAAGCCAGAACAAAGGAGATTCCAAAATACCCAGTGAGGGAAAAAAGGAAAGCATAACCATAGGTCTGAATTGGATTCTGCAACATATAAAAAAAGCCTGTTAGGAAAATGCAAAACAAACCCTGAGGTATTACAAATGAAATAAAACTACAGATTTTAATCAACCTCCTGAGTAGTAATAAGCCATTCAACAATGCAGTCAAGCAAAGATTCTTATTTAGTTCCGATTTAATGGAAAAACAATGATGAAATTAAAAATCCCAACTTTTACACATTATGCATCGCTTAAAAATTAACTTATAGGGTAGAGCAAGGATAAAATAAATTTAAATATAAATCATTTCATTTCTGAAATAATTTCTGATCTGCATATATTATATTAAAGGAGTTATCAAATTACATAAAAATAATCTTTTTGAACAAGAAATACAGAGGAGACTATTTAATGGGAGATGTTTATTTTTAAAAATATGATTAGTGTTTACCTTTGAACAAAATGTTACTGCAGGGCCTAATCCACTAGTGCATGTCAATCCCAGTAAAATGTACACAAAACCGATGGAATACGAATACAAAACCTATAGTAGATAAAAATATAGTGGGAAAAAAATGCTATCAAACCAAAGGCAGAAAATGAAGGATTTTTAATACATGGCTTAATTAATTATTTTTTTTTTAATTTTTTTTTCAACATTTATTTATTTATTTTTGGGACAGAGAGACAGAGCATGAATGGGGGAGGGGCAGCGAGAGAGGGAGACACAGAATCGGAAACAGGCTCCAGGCTCCGAGCCATCAGCTCAGAGCCTGACGCGGGGCTCGAACTCACGGACCGCGAGATCGTGACCTGGCTGAAGTCGGCCGCTTAACCGACTGCGCCACCCAGGCGCCCCATGGCTTAATTAATTAAATGTGAAGAACAAAACATTTTTTAAGTAACATCATTATTTCAATACGGCCTAACTTTGTCGAGACGATGACGGATCCTGTTTCGAAGTTTACAGCTTTTTTTACGTATAAGGTAACAACACAGCAGTACTGATCCTTTCATATATACGGTCACATAATATTCATTTTTTTGCCTGGCTTAATTACTGAACTCAAACCACATTTTATTGTGGGGGTTCTAAAAACACATATAAATAAAACAAAATAACTTTAAAGCTACTTATTAAACATTAAAACACCCAAACGTTAAATTTGCAAAGAAATTAAAATATAAGGAAAATAAGCAGTATCTGGCATATCTATTGCTTCATTTCCCAGTTTTCCTACCAATCTTTCTATCCCGGTTTAGTATACTCTCAGAACAGTCAGCAGCAGCATCGTCATCAAATTTACAGACCTGTGACGCTGCAGGTACCGTGTTAACAATGCTCTCTATGAATAATTCCACTTATGCCTCAACCTGCAGATGAGGAAATTAAAACTTAGAGACAGTAAGTCATTTTCCCCAAATAAGAGAGCTCGCCAAGTTGGGATATAAACTGAGGTGATCTTAGCCCAGAGCCTAAGCTCTTAACCATTGTACTTCTAACTATTTACACTTCCTTAATTCTCTGATCTTGACCTTACCCAGGAAGAGTGGTGACGATCATCAAGAAAACTTCTGACCGAGATTAAAGACTCCTTTAAGATGCTCACTCTGCTGACAAAGTAACAGGAAAGACCATTCCTATATACTCTTAATGTAGTACGTTCTGTCTAGCAAGAGGTTGGTTAGAAAATTAATGTAAACATACATATGGTAACTTTCCTATATATAAATACCAACCAGGTAGAAGGTATAGGGAAAGAAAGAGCGTTATTAGCAGTAACAACAGCAAAAAGATGAAACCCCTAACAATAGCTTCAATAAGAAATATGGATTTATATGAAAAAAAAAAAATCTAAGGGACATTGGGAAAAAAAAACACTTGAATAAAAGGAAAGTCATACCTTATTCTTGGACTGAAAGAATCAAGTGTATAGATGTCATTCTCCCTAAATTAAGTTATAATTCAGTGCTATACCAATCACAATAGCAATGCGATTTCTAGTTTATTTGGGGATATGAACACCCAAGAATAACCATGGTAGTAATATTCTGAAAAACAAAAGGAACATTGCTGGCTAGTCTTAGCAGATGGTAAATGTATGACAAAGCTGCTGTCATCACATGGTTTGGGTGCAGAAAGAAATCCAAAAGAATATAATTCTGAATCCTACATTACACTATGATATGATAAAGAAGGCACTTAGGCTGAAAAGTGGATCTTTCAATAAATGAAATTGGGGCAAGTGGATAGCCATATGGAAGAAAAATCTTTTAAAGTGTTGGCTAGATCGAAGCTTTAATTAAAAAGGAAATCATAAAATGGATAGGCAACCTGGGTAAAATTCTTAAATCTTAAGAGATGGGAAAGCCCTTTTCAATCATAATATGTTTCCAGAAGCCATGAAGGAAAGGATCAACCATATAAAAATCACAAGCTTCTAAATGGAAGATAATACCAAATACAAAGAGAAGAGAAAAGTGATGTAACAAAGGATTTTTTAATATGTAAAAAACAGAAATAGGGAAAATATTCATCAAATATTATACAATAAGCTCTACAGTGGTAATGGTATTTTTACTTTTTCATTTCCTGTAATGTTTGCATGGATTACTTTTGTGAAAATAATGATGACAAACCAGTTGGAAAATGCCGTGCCAGTCTCCAACACCAGAAGTGGTTCGCAAAATGAAGCACGTCACCATTTCTGAGCCTGTCCATCGTGGAGAAAAAAACACCAGAGCACTTACCATTTCTGAGTTGGAAGCATTGTGCAGTTTCATGGCTTTCTCTTGAACGTTCCCAATGACGGCGTCCGCACACAGTGCCAGGGAAATAAGGATCACACCTTCAAGAAAGTGCAGAAAAATACAACCTCCTTATTTAAACATGGGAATGACAATCAAGATTTACCAGAGATTTAACTTGGCTGAAAAACCAAAGCAGATCTTAAATCACATTTGCTCAGTAAAAATGGATTATTTTCATCCACAACCAGCTATAATTGGGCGCATAGATGATAACGTCAAAAAAAAAAAGGTAATGGACACTAATAAACTACATTAAAGTTGTCACCTTACTGTGTTTCATTATTATATAAAATAATAGTTCTGTTTAGGTTAAATGTTTGAAAGGAATACTCTATTAAACACATACAGAAGAAATTCTTAGGAGCTCTATCGGGACTGGTAGTTAGTTAATTGAAAAAATCAGATGAGGATGGAAATCATAAAAGAAATTACCTACATTATTAAAACATTTAAAACACATAAACATACACATAGTTGCCAAGGTCTTTTCTTTGAATATGTGTCCTAACAAAAACCATACTCATAACACACACCATTAATGATTTCCCAGTTTTTTTTGTTAAAAAGCATACAGGAAAACACAGGAACTTCGGACACAGTCGGGGGGGCAGAATCCCTTCACGCTTTTATGATATCCTGCTATTTTTACAGTTGTTTCCTCCACACCTAATTCAACAATGATTCTGTTGACTAGTCAACCATATTGTTTCAATTAACAGAAACAATTCTCTCTTCAAACTCATTTTTAAACAATTAAAAAAAAAATATTTACTTTTGAGAGAGCGCAAGTTGGGGAGGGGCAGAGAGAGGGGGACAGAGGATCTGAAATGGGCTTTGCACCAACAGCAGTGAGCCTGATGTGGGGCTCGAACTCGTGAACCGTGAGATCATGACCTAGGCTGAAGTCGGACGCTCAACGATTGAGCCACCCAGGTGTCCTTCATTTCTGCACAATGCAAGCAATATTATTACCTAGTTGTAACAGTACAACTGGCATGTACAAATCTGGAAATCAACACACCAATGCGAATAGGCACATCTACCTAAGAAGCAGGTGGTTGGTTACCTGAAGTGTTCAGGACACCGGTCATCAGCCATGTGCTTTACAGAAAGAACAAAAAGCAGCCTTGGTTACGTCTGCGAGTCTGCTGGGACCTACGGGAGTTTCCCCCTTTTCATTTTTTTAAACAATGCAGAAGCAATTACATGGAGCAGAAAAATATATGTGCATGTGTGTGCACTTGAGAATTTTCAAGTTTTCATATTTATTCTTCAGTTTGCCTTTTCATCATCTAACTTTGTGGTATTTATTACCTAATCATACATTTTTATTCACCAAACTTGATCCTGAATGCTCTTTTACTTATTTCAAATATGAAACCTGTCCTTGAAACAAAGACGGGCTATTGTTGAAGACTTGAATACAACATCCTCGCTCCCGGCAGGCTATTCAAAGACATTCTAAAAATGTTCTGAACAAAGGCAACACAGCATGAAAATGCTTGAACTACATTCTAAGGGGAATATTTAAAGGCAGACATTTATCTGCATAAGTAAATTCAGATATATTCACTTTACACATTCAAAGTTTTATTTATGTCTATGTTAAATAACTACCTAAACAGTTAATCTAATCTCCTTTAGATAATATTATTATTACAGATCAGAGACCATGATAAGTGCTCATCAGTTATTCTTAATGATGAAGTATGACCAGGTTCTAATTTTCTTACAAAATATTTCCATGGGAGTTGGAAAAGGTCAGCGGTCATGTCACCTTGAGAGGTTGCGGGACCACCGACACCAATGACACCACTTCAGCCCATCTTTATTGTCACTTTCACCCTCAGCACGCGCATGTGCTTTCATTCATACCCACTGTTCCATTACCTCAGTCAATCCTCCCACCACCTCTGTGTGAGGCAAGCTATCATCATGATCTCTGTTTAAAGGGGAGAGTACAAAGGGGTCTGGCACTTTAGCCAGGGTTATAATTTTAGGTGATCTGAACAGAATTTGAAGCCGTGATTCTGACTGCAAATTGTGCCTTCTCTAAAATTGCTTTTTCAATAAGTAAAAGGGTCAATTACCTCAGTTTCCATACATAATTTTCCTTTGAGAGTTGCTGACACGAAGCGTTCTTGAAAAATCTACACCATGTCAGACACATCTGTAACCATAAGCTTCTTTCTCAGAGGAAAACTCAGTGAAGTAATGATCACCTGTACTCTGAGCAAAGTTGAAACAGATGTTGTAAAAGGTTCCATCAGAATCTTTTGGTTGTTGAAGGGTTACTCCAAGAGGCTGTGCTGGTTACATTTAAACCCATTAACTTAGCCTGGTTAACCAGGTTAGTAAATAAAGAAGGCTGACTAACAGCCATGAAGAAAGATTTTGATTCTTAGGAATAGCAAAGCTGATGTAAATCATTTTCTTCATTATGTAGTACCTTTTTCTCATGAATAAATTTTTTCCGTTTCTTCAGAGTTCCTATGAACACGTAAGTATTTTATTTTATTTTTACTCTCCTCCCCCCCGTTGAGGATCTACTGGCAATAAATGCAACCATATAAAAGCATAAATTATGAAAAACATAGCCATGATGTGCCCTGCCCCTCAGCCCAGGCCCTAAAAAAAGCCCTTCTGAGGGAGGGAAGAGAAGAACTACCTAAGAACACTGTTGCCCCTGGGCCTGTGGGAGAAGCCAGGTGCTGCTTCAGCATATCTGGTAGTCAGTAGAGCAGGACAGCTCACACAGCTGGCCCTTGAAGTCCAGGTCAATGGTGAAGTCCAGATCTCGATTATTATTGGCACTGGGCTGAATGTCAATGGTGCCAAAGATCTCTCCGCCTGTTTTCACTGTCAGGTGGTCCTCCATGTAGAACACTGTCTCCTCCCAGTGTGTGTGCAGGGACTCAGGGCTGGTGGAGAAGCCTGTCCTCTTGGGGCAGCAAGTAAACTTGATGTAGAAGTAGGCCACCAGGGCGTGCTTCACTTGCAGGCAGAAGGGGGAGGTGAAGGTTAGGTCTTCCACCTTGACAGTGTAGATGTCCACCTCCTTCATGAGGCGGGCATTGGTGACCAGCTGCTTGGGGTCCACCACATCCACCAGGGGCTCTCTGATGGCCATGTCTTTGACACAAGATATGTCAAAGCCATATATGTTCTCCCAACAGTGGATCTTCATAGTCTTAGTACAGCCGGTCTTCAATGGTTGTCACATACAGCATGGCTCAGTCTGGGAAGATGAGGCCATTAGGTGTCAGCCACTTGTCTGGAACACCATATTGAGCATCGACTTGTAGAAGGGGCGGCAGTCCATCTACTCACTGATGATGATGTCTACCTTCTTCACTGGAACCTCTACTTTCTCCACCTTCCCCTTAGTGATGGTCACCACACGGTCTAAACTGTTGGTTTTGACAATCTGCACCACATAATCAGAGATACTGGAGCACTGGATCCCAATGACCAATGACCTTGCGGGCTCCAGCCTTGGCAGCAAACATACAGAGGATCCCTTGGCCAGAGCCCACGTCCAGTACCATGTTGTCCACAAAGAGGTGTCGGCTATGAAACATGGAGTTTTGGTACATGAGGGTGACTGCCTCATCTTTCAGCATCTCTTTCGAAATGCCAAAGTGAGCACTGGAATCAAAGTAGTGATCTTTGCATGTCAGCACTGGGCTTCCTGCTGTTTTCTGCCTGGCCCCAGGTGACCTCCATGATGCAGTCCGTGGCCTTGGCTGCTGCCACCTTTACCTGCACCTACTCCTCCTCCGGCCACCAAGACCTGCCCTGAACACGTAAGTATTTTAAATACTACTTTTGTCAGGCTAGGAGATGGGATGATACTAAGCTTATGAATAAAACTCAACAGAATAAGAATGACCATACTGTGTATATAATAATATAATAAATTCTCTTCAAGGTCGTTAGAACAAAAACAATATTATAACACATTTTTTATTCTTATTTAGTTCTAAATATACAGAATACCTATTTTGCCTGTGAAAAATCTAAATTTTATTTGCAAAATTCCATGGGACACACAAGGAGGAAACTGTTCATGGTGGAAACTTCAAGCACTGTAAGGTTATAGACATATTTAGAGTACACAGTTCTATGTTAACGTATAGCATAACTTTTCCTCTTTAGCTAAAATAATGACAAGTAAATGTGCAATTTAAATTTTTTTTTAAAAAAAGAATAAAAAGTTACTACTGTGATTCTCCTATAACTAATGTGTATACTTCCGATTCAGCCCATAAGAAACTCATCTATCATGTACTGGATCACAGAAAGTTTTGACTGGCCGCACAGCCTTTTGTCATGTCAAGATACCAGAGCACTAAAAAGAACTGTTACATCTGCAGGGTTGTAATATTTTTACTACATCTTATACAGAAAGTCCAAAAGCTTTATGTCAGATACGAAAATCATAGATGTCACACTATCGTTTAAAATTCTCATGAAATTATAAAAGTTCTTACTCTAAACCCAAATGCCTGTAAAATCTGAGCAGCACAAACAATTTCCTTACCGGTCAGGTTGAAATTTGGTGCAACCGTGCTGTCAGCTAGGGTGAACCATATCAGGCCAAGGCTCATACATATGGCAGCAGACACATCTGCAATGTTGTAACGCTTCCCTGTGTAAAATAAATGTAAGCCAACCTTATTATGCACATGCCCACTTGACACAGTTTTAGATCTATGTGTCTAACCAAGTATAGCAGGATCTGCTTTTTATGTCCAAAGTCAAAAACATACGAAGAATGCTTAGATCAGTGCCTTAGACAGTCACAGAAGGGCTTCGGAAAATTAAATTACCAATGAGCAGCAACATGTCCTTAGGAGTTAGATATGAGATCCTACCTTATCTGTTACGGTGAGTAAATATGAACATTTAAAGTGCATGGACATGAGTGCCTTTTTTACTTCGTGTATATTAGAAGATTCTGAATTTTCTTACAGCCCATACGTTTACAAAGTAACCAGACCAATTTTCCAGGCTGCATAACTGTTTAAGTTTGCAACTACCATAATCAGAATTGGTGCGAATGAACCTATTTTAGTAGATCCACATCTAAATAATAAAATCATGCAGTGTAACTTTTTGGTAAGGATTGTTAAGGACGTATTACACATGCATGTGGTTTTTAATAGGGAAAGGTATCAGTACTTTTTCCTGCATCAACAGTTACCCTGAAATTATACATGAAGTAGTTGACATCCATACTTTCATTTCAAAGGGCTTTTGTGGGAAGGCCTCTAATGTAAAAAATGAAGTCAGGCTGTATAAGAACTTTAGTGAAATAGAAACCCTTGATTGTCAAAACATGAATATTCTGCATGACTGTTATAGAAACAACAAAAATGTGTTCCACGTGCTATCATTGCTTCCTCTTTCGCTCCTATTTCCACATAGCCTGTAATTTAGTTGGGGCTCTAGGAAGTCAGTGAGCCAGCAGAGTTGGTAAAAAAAGCAGTTCTGCTCAGGTTAACCTTTACTTCAGTGTGAGAACTGTCCGTGTGTATGATGGAGGTAGAGAGAGGAGCCCTGCAGAGCAGAAGAATGAAAGAATTGAAAAGAGGAGTTTTCTAGGTATTTCTGAGCTACGTCTTCAATAGATGAATGCAGTATTTCTGGAAATGTGATGGATTCCCAACTAAAAGAAAAAGTAATTTAAAAAAGTACTATTTTTATTTTTCCCCAGTCCAAATTACTGACGGCAAAGACTAGGGGATATTGCAGAAGTATCAGTGTTTTTATAATACCTTATTTTGATACAATGTCACTCAGAATTGTTCTGATATTTCGAATGTTCATTAAAAAATATTAATTGAGTTTCAGGTTTTTCCTAATGCTAGATGCCGTAACAGATCCTATTAGTTTCAAACAGTATGAAAACATATCATTACTATACCTTGAATAAAAACTCCTCCTAGCATAACAGGAATCAATTTGCAGCACTTGAAGATGACTTGGGTGGGATAATTCAGGTAGCCCAAGGAAGTATTTGATAACCCCATAGTACCCACAGTTAGAAAAGCTATTATCATGTAGGTTTTTCCTGGTATTCTGTAAAAGACAATTTTTAAAATCTTCATTTGGGACCCGATTCACACTATTATAAGATAATGTGTTTACAATGTGTAAATGTCTAATTTCTGATGAATATTTCTACAAATACTGGTGAAATATCACTATTTTAAAGGTTATCACGCTGTATTCATACAAAAGAATGTTGGTAAAAGCAACAATTTACCCTTATTTAATTGATCACAAGTGAGAACTTTCAGCTGTGTGAAACACGGTGTACCACAGAGTTCTGCAGATTCTTCTGGATGGTCTGAAACGTTGGTAAGAAGTTTTTTTTTTTAATTTTTTTTTTAACGTTTATTTTTGAGACAGAGAGAGACAGAGCATGAGCAGGGGAGGGTCAGAGAGAGAGGGAGACACAGAATCTGAAATGGGCTCCAGGCTCTGAGCTGTTAGCACAGAGCCCGACGCGGGGCTCGAACTCACGGACCGTGAGATCATGACCTGTGCTGAAGTCGGCCGCTTAAGCGACTAAGCCACCCAGGCGCCCTGGTAAGAAGTTTTTTAACAGCAGTTCTACCTACGTGTAAAAAACATCTTGACTAAATTTGGAAAAAAAGAGTTTTAAAAAATATTGACCTCCATAGTGGTAAAAGGAACCTTAACTAATTTTCAACTTCTCAATTGTTGTTTCCTAATGTTCCCATCTAGCATTAGGAAAAATACGTCTAGCCCTTCGGCTAAAATATCCTGAGCAGAGTACCTGCAGAAAAAGTACATGGCAGTTTAAAACGCTGAACGTGATTTTTATTACCACAATGTCATATGGGTGAACTCTAATTCTGTATTCCATAAAATGTTAAAACAATTAGCTTCGGAGAGAGGGAAGATGGCGGCTTAGGAGGACGCTGGGCTCACCGCGCGTCCTGCTGATCACTTAGATTCCACCTACACCT